AGTAGTTTACGAGGTTTTTAAAAAACCTTTTCGCTCTTTCCCATTCAGAATTGTAAGTCCCAGTAGCCCCTCGTTCTTGTTTTGGTTTGCATCAAATTTTAAATTCGGTCGCACAGGCTCACTTCTCCGCCTCGATAATCGTTGCTCTCCGATGGGCGGTCAACCGAATTTTTGATAAACTACGCCGAGCTAACTTTTCCGTGGTCCGGTCAGGTTACAGCAGGCAAGGTGGCCCCATTCAATGTGTGTCCGCTGACACCCGGCGCTCCAGAATTTCGTATTCTCCTAAAAATTTTGTGAACTCTTGAAAATGGTAAACATGTGCCCGGCGCTCCGTCGCCACGGCCGTTATTTCACATGTCATCACATTAGTGTTATCCGTTAGTGTATTTGAGTGCTGCGATGTTGTGACTGCGCGTTCCCCGCGATCGGAAAATGATTTAAGTGACCCGGTCTATAAAGAGGCGGCATTTCCTTTTGTATTTGGTTCTTTTTTTTTCGCTAACTAAAATCCATCGCGAACTCTTTATTTGCCCCGTTTCGTGAAATTTAGTCGTCCTAAGCATAGATGCATTTTCAATATTCTATTTTCTCATTTGTTAAATGTACCAACAGGCACATGAATGTATACTGAAAACATCAGTATTAGATCGTTGGTTATTTGCTCAGAAATGACTCTAAAATACACCAGAGAGACTCAAAACCCCCCCCAACGAGCGGGGGGCTTACCCCCTCTCGTGCTCTCCCCCCGCGCCGGTAATACATAATGGGTGAGATCGGAGAGACCATGTACTGAGCGTTACGTAGTTCTCCCTTGTGCTCTCCCCCCGCTGACGCGCAGCGCTTACGTGGCTTTCGGCCACGTCAGGTGGTGCGCCCCCCCATTCACAAATTTCTAGATCAGGCTAATGCTACGCAAACACACGCCGCGCTACGCACCCCTGTACAATATAAACGTCGATTGAATGGCATTCATTGCGGTAAACAAACTGTGAAGTAATAATATGATAGGTCCATTACCCATGTGTACGGGAATTTACGGATCTGCACATGTCACTCGTCGCAAGTACTGCCAAACAATGAGAGGTCACCATACATGTTTATTGTGTCGCAAGTGCGCGATTTGAGAGATTCACACGTGTTTGCAAAGTCCGTGTGTAAGAGGAGCGGGGGGAAATGCTGGTTAGAAAACAATTTTCCCGCCTGAAATCTACCTAAACATCGAACAGTTTTTTTTAGTTTGCTTAAAAAAGACAGCTTAGAATTATTTCTAATGCAGCTAAACCACTCTTGTAGATGTGTATCTTGTAGCCGATGGCGAAGATGGTGTGTATTATAATCTGTTTTATAAGCTTCAGGTTTCGTCCATATATGTCCAAAGCCGTGGTAGTTGAGAGTATCTTTAACATGATTAATCCAGTCGTGGTCATCAGCAAATACAGTTTTGTATAAATCATGAAGCAGAGAGTCCTCGGGTAAGTTTCTCAAATGGTGCCAATATTTAATGAGTTGAATTTTAGCAGATATCATAATGGGGAAAGATCCTGATTCTCCTCGTACAGCGTCGTTGGATGGTTTTGAATGGACTCCAAGAAGAAATTTTTGAAAACGTATGTCAATAATATCAAATTCTTGTATGGCTAAAGAGAGGCGTATGTTATTGATTGAAAAATTATCCTTTCCTAGATTAAATCCAGACGCCTGTCTCAGAACCATGTCTTTGTCTGTTCCTCTTTCAAAGTTAATGATATAAGTATGAGTTAGATCAGTGCAAGTGCTCTTTCGAATCAAAACTGGAATGTTGCCATTATCAATTTGGAGTTTCGTAAAAAAAAAGAGAAAATATTTTAGGGGAAGACACAGGAATGTTTTGGACACAATAAGTTTAAGTGATTTTGAGGTTTGGTTAAAGCATGTTAACTCACATCCATACAAACGGATACTATTAGGTTTTTTTTTACACATTTATCAAAAAGATTTTTACCTAGCTTGATGGAAATGTTTTCCGATGACAAAAGTGATTTTAATTTGAATATTGCTCTTATAGCTTTGGTTTTTAAGAACTTTCTGGCTGTTTTAAATTTACCTGAGGACGTAAAGGGGATACCAAGGTAAACATAACCTATATTTCTCTATTATAGATGAGGAATTCTTTTGACATTTTCTTTGTAGCACCTTTAGCGAAGACAATAGCTTTTGTTTTGGAGACGTTAACGGTTAATTTCCAATTGCTACAGTATGTTTCCAGGGAATTTATGCATTGCTGAAGACCATGTTTTGATAAAGAAATCAAGGCAAGATCGTCAGCCCAAGATAAACAATTGATAGCTTTAGATGTTAATGTAGCGGCATCACACTTGTCATGATCAAAGTATTGCGGTAGGTCATTGATGAATAGGTTAAATAACATCGGGCTAAGGTTACAACCTTGTCTTACACCACAAGTTGATACGAAGGTATCTGATAAGCCATTCTCTAATCTAACTGCATAATTAACATAATAAAAAAAACTTTATTGCATGTTCATTCTCCGGGGGGATAAATGCACTGATGTACAAAAAAAATGTACTAGAGAGAAATTACAAAAACAATAATAAAGAAAGGCTAACATCAGGTCTAAGGTATACAATGCTAAAAAAGAAATATATACATAAAGTGGTATCGATCTAGTAGTACATAGATTTCAGTATAGTAAAAAAGTTTCCCCCGATGCCATATTTTAACAATTTGTAGAACAATCCATCACGCCACACGGAGTCAAATGCTTTTTCATATCAACAAAACAAACAGTTTACATTTCTTGTTTGTGTAAATTTTTCAATAAGGGATTTTAGAATAAAGACATTGTCGGCGGTTCGGTTCTTCTTTCTGAAACCAAACTGTGTTTCGGCTAACAGATTATTGTTTTCTATAAAGTTTTGTAGTCTGGTATTCAAAAGACGAGTTAACAATTTCGACAGACAACTAGATAGAGCGATTCCTCTGTAATTATAAACGTTGGACTTGTCACCTGATCTAAAATTGGAGTTAGGATGCTTGTGTTCCAATTAGACGGAAAAGTGCCTTCGGTGAGAATGGTATTAAAAGTTGTATTGTCATTAAAAGGGATTACCAATGATAAACATAATTGTCTTGAGTATGTTACGTGTTTTAGCATGTCGTTAGAAATATAATCTATTCCACAGGCTTTTGCAGATTTTAATTGTTTTAAACCATCGAGAACTTCCTGTGTAGTAAACGGAATGTCTGGCAAACTACTATTGGGTGAATGTTTATCAAAGTTTTCTAGTCATTCAGTGATTTATATGAACACGGAGCTTAAAAAGGTTCTGATATAACGTCCTTGGTATGAATGGGGTCTAAGTGTATCCCTAAGTTTATATTAGTAAGTATAACCCTTGCTATGAACAATGAGCAGATTTCTTTGTGTGGTCCATCGGTTCCCTGTATTATGCAGGCGCCATATTGAATCTACAGTACTATTTTGTCATGGGAAAAAAAAACACAATTACTAATCAGAATTGTACCAAACTACTATTGGGAACCTCGATCTTGACATACAATGTATTTCACCTTTGCAAACATAGTCATTTTCGTTGGTGGTGAAGGGGACCAGCTCCTTACCTTAGACCTTAGATCCTCTCGCAACCTTGTTGCGTAGGTCGACTCCTTGTCTAACTTTTTTTCTCCAAAGGTTTCGGTTTTGCGCCACTACTGCCATATCCTTAAGTGAGTTAAGTCCAAGTTTTGCCCCATCATTTTGTAGTGTTTTCCGCAAGTTGACTCTAGGCCGCCCTCTCGGGCGTGTGCCTTCTGGCTTCCATGTTAGAGCTGTTTTTGTGGTTCTGAGGTCAGGCAGTCTCCACACATGTCCAGCGAAGCTCAATCTCCTTTTCATTTTAATCGCACTGAGGGGTGGGACCTTTGCTCTTTGCATGAGCTCCGCATTTGATACGTGGTCACGCCAGGAGATGCCAAGGATAGTTCTGAGGCATCTACGCTGGAAAGTGTCTAACATTTCCACTGTCTCTTTGGGGCTTCTCCAGGACTCACATGCATATACAGCAGTTGGTACCACAATGGACTGGAATAGCTTCATCTTAAGCGGAATGCTAATTTGCTTGGAGCACCACATTTTTTTAGACGCTGTCACATTCCGGTAGCTTTTCCTAGCCGACTTTTAATATCCTCTTCTGTACCCCCACCCATGGTAATAATACTGCCTAGATATGTAAAACTGTCCACATAATCAATTTGTTTGTTGTCAAGCAATAGTGGTGAATGGTTTACAATAGATGTCATTGCTTTTGTTTTGTCACCACTCACTCTGAGCCCAATTTTCTCCCCTGTGGTAGCAAGTCTGTCTGTAAAGTTTTGGAGACCAACACAACTGTTAGCCAGTGCAGCTATGTCGTCTGCAAAGTCGAGCTCAGTGTTTTTCAAATATCAGCCCACTGTTGTGTAAAAGTAATTTTTAGAAGAGACAAAAGATGCATGGTTTACCTGTGCATTGTGGTCAAATGTGTATTGTGGTGTCATGGTCAGAGACGAGACGAGTCTTCTATACCTTGTTTTTTTATAAGGGAGGTTTCACTTCCTTGGTTATAATTCATTTTCTGGAATATTGGAGAATAGTTGAGAACATTACACAGTTAAACTGCATTATGTGTTGATGCAAGGACGTTCTACGCTTGATGGCAACATTTCAGAGTACTTTGGCGTAAGACTAGCCTAATGTGCATGCAAGGCCTCCTGTTTCGGTCGAACTAATTCCCGACACACGATGCACGGAGGATACAGAGCCATAGCTGTCGTTTTCAGGTGTGGACGGAGTAACGACTGACCTCAACAACTTCATTCTCCTGTTTTATAGCCAGGTACGTTGTCTGACAAAGCGATGTGGTCTCTATTGAAAAGTCATGATTGCCGACGAGCGTGATGTATCAAGATATGTTGTCTGATAAATGGCGCGGTCTCTATTGGTAATTATATGATTGCCGATGAGCGTGAAGCACTCGCGATCAGGTAAGCTGTTTATCAAAGGGCACGGTCTCTACTGAAAACTCATGTTGATTGCCAACGAGCGTGAAGTTTTCTGACAAAAGGGCGCGGTCTCTATTGGAAATGAATATGAGCGTGTGATGTACGCACAGACGTCGTCGGACAAAATGGCGCGGTCCCATGCTATCTTTGTATGAGGTAGCGTTATATCGGTCTTACATGCAATATACTGTAATAATTGTGTTTGTCCACATCATAAGTTAGACAATCTAAAATGGAATTCGTTTTCAACGTCTTTATGGCATGTGGGACACAGTCTCTCATTGGCTGGTGTGTTACTGTAGCTACCTTTTTCAATTTACAGAGAGTAGGCACTAATCCTAAGTTTTGTTATGCTGTTTGAATGATTTGTTTCGGATTGATAAGAGATAGTTTTCCGTACAGAATTGTGTTTTGATTTTGCAGTAGGTATTGGGTTTGGTACTTTGGTTTCTCGAGTACACGACAAGGACGCGTCAGGTTTCACCAACGTGTCCAAGCTTGGAAACCTGAGGAAATCTGCCTTTTCAAACAGTGCTGCGTTTTATGATGTCAGACGACCTCTGAACTTGACTTATATATACTTTTAGAGTTTTTATGCCCAAATAACATTTCTTTAAGCCCACTTCAGGCGGAACTTAATATTCCGAGTTTGAAACCTGATCGGATTAAGGCTCCTTGCTACCACGGTCTTCTTTTCTTTGGTTGGTGTGCAGAGATAGCCTAGTGAGTACTCCACACGTCTTTGTAGCGCTTTTTATAACTGCTCGCTCCTAGCTATGACAGCATCAACAAGATAGTGTTTTGCTTACGCGTGAGAATTCAGTGTTTCACACATTTGAGTGGCGTTGTGCTTAATAATAGGCCAGTCACGGCGAAATAGTAAAGAGTTTGATGTTGGACAAGTTTGATTCGAGAAGTGACAACTCTGGTTTATCATTCAAGGTCAAAATCTGACGTATTCTTTCTTTTAGTTTAAAGGGACGAACCAAAAACCCATGCTTTTTTCCCAGGGGAACGATGGCGTTACTGCGCATCGATACCGACTTTTAAGAACGTTTTCTGCAAGTTTGCGGCAGCGAAACCACGAGAACAACACATATCCATAGCTAAAGTCCAGAGCAGATTTTTCTTTCCGTTATAACCTTTCTGAGAAAAGGGATGTCTGAAAATACGTCGATAGTCTTCTAATTGCTCCATTGTGAATCTGCCTGGCGGAGATCGGAAGGTTCCGGGTCGGAGTTCCAAATACTGGCAGTAAATCACCGTAATTGCCACGCCATATTTCACTTCCTTTTGCCTGGCGATCGTCATAAATAAGCGAATAGTTTTTGAAAGTACAGAAGAAGATGATAATTCAAGACGTGACACGATTGTTCGGAAAAATCTGTTTTTAATACTCTGATTATTTCCTCCACATTAGGAGACCCCGGCTCCAGTAACATCAGTGAGCCATTCCTATTGGTAGCTGACAAGAATGGAGAAATAATTCTTCAAGTTAACATCACTTCCGGTTCGACCACCACGCTTCCGCTCGGAGATGTAGGACTGCCCGCCGCCCTGGACTACGACCCGCTCACGGACTACGTGTACTGGTCAGATATCCGAAACGACAAAATCCACCGGGCTCGTCGTGATGGAAGTGGCAGGGAGACCATCTTAGACATCACCGGTGAGTTAAAATATCATATTATCATGTTTTTATGGCAATTGGAGACAACTATTACAAAACGCAACGCTACACGTTCATATGTGATCTTACAAAGATGATATGTATTATATAGTCCTCAAGCAGATGTTAGGACCCGGCTAATTTTCTCATTGTCTGGGTTCACGTTATTTAACATTTAGATTTACACACAAACACGCACGCACACACCCACACACGTGCACACACACCCACACACGTGCACACACACGTGCACACCCACCCACACTCACCCACAAACACGCCCCCCCCCACCACAAAAACACACTATGTCGTTTGTTTGTCTGCATGACTAGGACCGCACGCAAACACACAGACACACACGCACGCACACACACACTTTGTCGTTAATCTGTCTGCATGACGAGGACCGCACGCAAACACACAGACACTCACACACACACACACACACACACACACACACACACTCACACACACACACACACACACACACACACACACACACACACACACACTACACACACATANACACACACACACACATACACACACACACACACACACACACACACACACACACACACACACACACACTGACCCGCCTAAGATTCTAAATAGAACAGGTAGCGGCTTACGGTGTTCCTCTGGAAAAGTCCATCGGAGAATCATTTGTATAACTGATGAAAATCTAAAATACTGGTGGAGGCTTCGTAGTACCTGTTTTTTCTTTTGTTCCAAACTTAACATCTTAACAATGCTTGTTTTTACTGTGATTAAACTGTGATACTTATAATTGTGTAATTTTACAATCAAAGCAGCGGTATGGACGGATCCCATCTGTCAACCAAATGTAGTTTAAGAGAATGGCTGAAAAGTTATACAGTTCTGTGTTGCTGTATTTTCACATCTGTGTTTTGGTTTGCATTTATAAATATATTTTATTAAAAGAATTCAGATTTGAGATTTTGAATCCAAAACAGGTCGTTATTCCAAATAGGAACCTGGAGTAAGTAACTGTGAACATGGCTTCCCGCTATAAACCTTATCGGGATATTTCAGACGGGTTGTTTTGTCTGTGACATGTTAAGGATATCTCAGGTTGGACTGGGAGCCTATTTGTAATAACGACACGTTTATTGGTGTGACCCCGGCATTATTGGGGAATCTTACTGTGTTTACTGCGATGTTGTCGTGAACTGTTCCGTATATAAGAATTTTCTATTATATAGTACATGTATGTATATCAAAATCTTCTTGACGTGTGCATTTTCAAACATATTTTTCTACAAAACGTCTTCACTTTTTTTGATGCAGATGTCGTTGGCCTGGCGTTGGACCACGCTAGAGGGGATATCTACTGGACTGATTATGATGAAAACACCATCTCTGTAGCAAAGATGGATGGATCGTCAACTAGAACACTTCTGACGTCACCAGTCGTCAGCCGTCCTTTGGGACTGGTCCTGGACGCCAGGAATGGGTGAGTAAAATACATTCAAAATCAGGCATTTTACATAAATGGGGACAGGGCTGTGTACGTTAACGTTTTTGAATTCGATGCATTTCAACCAGTCCATCGTTTTAAATACGTCATAGTGCACACTTTTATTACCATCCTACTGGTAACTAGACTTCTACGATCTCATACATTCGCCGAATGAGGTTAATCTTTATGATTGATAACGATTATTCCTCCTGATTATGCAAATAGGCTTCTCATTTGCATGAATTATATCAGTTGATCATATTCTTCACCAAACGACAGCCTTAGCAAAGAAATCCATTCTATTATTTCGTCATAAATTGTGCAAATGAGGTCCTTATTTGAATCAGTTAATGATGTTCACCTTTACTTAACTTTCAAATACACAAAGTATGAAATTCCAGGCAGTTACCATTATGTAATTCTATGTAAATCCCAAAAACTAATAATTCCGAGGTCTCATCAAGACCTACCCGCCTACCAAATATGAAGACAATACATTTAAGCCTTCTCGAGTTATTGTTTACAGACACAGACACACACACGAACGCCTGGAAACATAACCTTCTTGGCGAGGGTAATAAAACTTGATCAGTGTTCCGGACTCCTGGAATATCATGTTACTGTTTTGTTGTGACCTCTTATTTTGCCATATGTGTGCTTTAGGCAGAGACCATCGATGTGTAGGGATTATGTGGATTATATTGTCATTATGAATAATCTATATCATTTATGGTAATAATAATAATCTAATAACGCTGTACAAGGAAACATCATTTAATAAAATGTATGAAAATTTGGCGGAGATAAGAGGTTTTGTTTGCTTGACTCCTTTCACAGACTCATGTACTGGGCGGACGGTGGTAATGACAGAACTGACCGTGCTGCGATGGACGGCAGTAACCCAACCACCATCATCACGGGCGTGTCTGCTCCCCGCGCCGTTACAATAGACTATAGAGGTAAGAAACAACACAGAAAGAAACAATTTACTAAATATATTTATTTATACACAAAAGAATTATGTAATCAAGAAGGAGCATTTTGTAGGTTGGTGTTACCTGACTTATTGTATTGTATGAGGGCAGGAGTGGTTTAAATAAATATGTACTACGTGTAATTTAGGACGTTCAATCATGATTGGACGTCCTTGGTGTAAGATATTATCTATGTGCACGTCTACCCTCTCTGTAGTGTTACTCAACAGTCGCAGTATTCACATTGATGGGTGCATAAATCCTTTGTTTGTTCCTCTCATTTAGAGGACCGGCTGTACTACTCTGATCGGTACCGCATGTACAGCTCAGACCTGCTGGGTAACGATATCCAACAACTGCTGTATGAAGACGGGAAGTGGGTGCGGGGGATTGCTGTTGACGAGAACTACGTCTACTGGTTGTCTTCTTGGTATGATTCATCAAGGACATGGCAAGGAAAAGTCGGAATGTAAGAAAATCCGATTTATCTAGTAAACACTTATGTAGAAATCTCCCTGCTGATGTCATGTTATTTTGCTCCATATTGTATTGAGTTACATGATTTATTTTGTAAACATAACTTAATATGTTTCTTTAGTAGGAGATGGATTATATCTACCTTTACGTTGGCCTTTAAGTTGGTTTTGTACTGACTTAGGATAAGTATTAACCCCGGATTTAGTCCCCGGCTCCATTGACCAATATTAGCGATCTTTTCGCGGCCGCGTTCCGTAATAGCGCCCCAGGGCTTCCACGCCCGACCTCAGTGTGCAAAAATTATCCCGTCGTCCTTTGTGTGACTGTTTTTCCGGTAAACTAAATTGAAAACAAGAATTCGGAGATCTCAAACCTCCATGAAATATATGAGTTTTTGTAAATGTTTTCACACAGTACACTGCACTTTGTTTAACTTTGTCTTTGAGACTGGGACCGCCAAATCCCAAGTGTCTAACCTTCATCGACGTTAGCAGCTATAGTTTGTTTTTAACTGGAAACAAGGGGATGAAAAGAACCAAAAGATGGCGATTTAGTTTGTTCAGGGAGCTTTAAATCCGAGTTTGAGGCCAATTCTAGTTTTCCTTTTTAAAATCGTATGATGGTACCACGTATGCGTCGGTAAAACCCTTTGTCCGTACTTTTTTGGGAGGCTACGTCTGCTACGTTTATTCTGAAAACGTGGGGAAGGAGTGGCGTCTACGCACGTCACTCGCGCGTCACTCGCACGGTTGCGCAAAGTGTAAGAGTGTGGTGTGCACGCCACGTCTGGCCATGAGCGGTTGCGTGCATCGTTCGTTGCGCAAGTGGTAAGTGAGTGGTACGTGCTTAAAGAGTACGATCTCTGTGCGATTGCAACTTTACCGTAAGGAGGCCGTACTCACACGTGCTTCTTCCGTACGGTACGTACGGGGCACGCGTCGCACGTACTCGCACGTACGTACGGGTGGTGAATCCGCAGACCGCGGTACTCACCACGCACGGATGCCCTACGTTTGCCCACGTTTTTGCACGTAGACAGCACGCAGAAGCACGTACGGCGAGTTGTGACCAGGCCTTAAATATCCCGCTGGTCCCGCGTCCCCCTCGAACTTTTTGGAGTGGATATGAATGCATTAAAACAGGTAATTTGATTAAACCAAAGGCTGTGTCAACATTTGCCTCTGTGAATGTCCTCTCAAAGTAAATTGAAAACAACCTGAAACAAGAGTTTCACGACCTCTGTGCTCCGACCCGGAATCGAACCCGGGGCTCCTTGTTAAGCGCCGAACGCTCCATCCACTACGTCACACGACGTCAAAAACAATACCATGGAGGTAACAAATGTCGCCACTGTTTTTTTTTAAAGAACAGTTTATTGTTTGCAATTTGACGAAGCAAGCCTAAAAGTCCGATACCTAGAAGAGAGTGAGGTAAGAATCAAATGCAGATATAGTGAAGGTCAATGCACGTATTGCACATGTACAATACTGATAGATAAACTATATGTACAGGCTAAAGGCCTCTTCAGCATGAATCGCGGCATGATCGCTCATATTTCGGCTTTGTACGTATTTCGGCAGAAAAGACGATAATTGCGAGCCCTTCGGAACCCCCGTGTATGAACATTTAGTTATGTCTTGTTCTTTACAATCGTATTTGATGTTAATGTTTTATGTTTAATGTTTAAGGTTTACCCACGGAAGACACAACGCACTTCCAGCTGACTTAAGACATGTACCAACTCTCTCACAGTTTAAAGCAGCCCTAAAACGTATGTCGTATGAAACCTGACCTCTGACCTCCACTCCCGAACTTTTGTGTTTTGACCATGGATCGGCTAGGACGTTGAATATTGAATTGTGATTTTGTATTTGACGCATTGGACTAATATGTTTTTATGTTTACTGTATGTTGTTCTTTGTATTACAGTATGTAACATTGTCCTGTAACAAGCTGAAAAACAGCCTTGAAAAACAGCCAGTGAATGATGAATGGGGTTACCCATCTGTCTTGAGATTAATAAATAAATAAACAAACATCAAATAAACACCAGTCGGTGATAGGTTTTTACTCCAGGAAAAATAAATAAACAAACAAATCATTACATTATGGTAAGACTTCCTGATAGAATTTATTGTACGAAAACATCATTACGCACAAAAACACAAACACACACACACACACACATACACACACACACACACACACACACACACACACATACACAGTATATACATGTAGACACACGCACAGACATAGAGACATACACGTACGCGCACAAACACAGACATACACACGCGCGCGCGCACCCACACACATAAAAACATCCTAAAATACATACCTATGGTTGTAGATATATTTAATTTTTATTATTTATATAATTTGATCGTATGGATATGTATAACCATACGTGAACGGACACAATAAGATGCTCTGTTTCAATCCCCCAGGTTATCCAAGTCAGACTTGACCCAGACTGTCCTGGTGGAGGGTCTGGTATGGCCACAGGGCATCTACCTCTCCACGGCAGCGCCTCCTGGCGTCACTACTGGTAAGTACATATTCAGGAAGGTCTGAAATTTATATATATATATATATTTATATATATTTACATACATTTACATTTACATTTACACATATATATATATATATATTTCTTTTGAAACATTTCAGTGATCCCTACAGCACAATCAACAACAACTGTGCAGCCAAGCACAACTCCGGTCACTACACCTTCGACTGCTGCGGCAAAAAATTCTCCGGTTATCACACCTTCGACTGCTCAGGGAAACACTGCCGCGGTCATCACACCTTCGACTGCTGAGAGAAACATTGCTCCGGTCACCACACCTTCGACTGGAGAGGGAAACACTTGCTACGGTGATCATCTTATTTTTTCACACCGAGTAATTTGATGTAAACAACTGTCGCTAGTGTCCGTACATTTATAAGTAGTGGTTCGAGAGCGGGTGTAGTCTTAGCAAAACAGATTTACAGTCCTCATTGGATTTCATTAGTATTTTGTGCTTAGGTTGCTTAGGGTAACTGTTAACCGTGATAAATATTCCCGGAACATGTCGGTAACTGTTAACCACGGATGCTGTTACAGCCTCGCTGATCGTCGTGTGCATGGCGCTGATGGGACTTTTCCTCTTCTTCACCATGGCCATCATCACCATTCATGACAGGCAGGGGAGCCTGTCTCCAATGGCGAAGACCTTCTTTCTCCGTTACATGGCAAAGTATGTACTCTTCGTAAAACTAGCTCAGGTTAGACGGAATAGAAATGTACAGAAATAGACAAATACCCTTGAAGTGAAACTCACATACATCTTTATTGTTGTTTCGTTTTTAAGTTATAAGGTTTATTAGGCCCTTTTACATGTTTGGGCTGATATGAATTTAACGTACCAGGAAAGATTCGTTATCTATCTTTTTACGATGGAATCAAATTAGCAACTTAATACTTTTATAAACTTTTTCTGCATCTGTTACCCTTCCAAGCTGCAAATTAGCATGTATGTTAGGCTCTTTTCTTTGTAGATTTTGTATATTTCTTTGTAGATGATGATTCTTGTAGATTCAGTCTGATTTTTAAGGTATCAACCTTGGTAACATTTTAACATTGTATTCATTGCTTCTACTTTGAACATGAAGTAATCTGAACGTTTGGACATGCCTATTGATATGGGATCGGAGTGAACGTATGTATCAGAAAGAAACATTGGACTCATTTTTTCTTGGTGGTGTTTGTTAAGGTGCCTACTGCTCGGAGATCTGACAGAGAAGAAGGTTGCAAGCGACGATGGAGAGACTGGTCCCAGCAGCAGGAAGCTGACCAACCGCGTCTCCCCTGCCGATGCCCCGGAGGTGGTCGACGTGCAAAGCCCGGCTGATGTCCGCGAGACAGCCCGTCAGCCGCCCACGCGCCTGGAGGTTCCTGTGTCCTCCGCCTCCCGTAACATGGAGGAGCTGGCCGAGGCCATAAAGAACGAGCAGGAAGTGTCTGACTACACCCTGCTGGCTAAGGTCCTGGGCAGGCTCTGCCTTGTCATGTACGTCATCAGCATTGCCGTGGCCGTGCCCATGGCCGTGTATCTGGGCAAGTAAATTAGAGTTGTGTAAACGTGCCTTAACAAAACCAAAAAGTGCGACTTGATTATTATGATTATTATGCATTGATTCAGCTTTAAGTAACGTGCATGTGCAGTCAGGGCATGCCCTTACAAGGGCTTCTTTGAGAATTTTAGTAAGGTAGTAACCCCACTGGTGGAACATACATACTAAATTTGTATCTTCAGTATGATCAATACGATACGAAGGTGAATGTGTGCAATGGGGATTATAGTTCGTATGGAGCATATAAAGGAGACAACGTATATATCTAAGTTAATTTACGTATCTAACCAGGAAAGACTTGTGGTGTTTTCAAAGAGTGGAAATGAACCGAGATGTACTATTAGAGTCGCCTTCTTGGCAGTATCTTGCACCTCATATGTTAGATTGCATATTCTGTAAACTCTTGGCTCATCAGAGCCTTCAAAGAAATGACCTGTCACACTTTGTAAGTATAAGTTCCCTGTGTAAACAGACCGAAACACAACTTGACTGTAACAATTGCATCTACTTTTATCTATTGATACATTCATCTGTTATCTATTCAGCTCAGAGGGCATTTATACACAGCCGGAGCTGCCAAACTAATCGGTGGCTATCAGATAGGGTTAGTCTTGAGACCAATAGGGAAAAACCGGGGAAAAGAATTTGTCCATTACATGTAGACTACTTTTTCTTGATCTGTAAACAATTTTGCGTTAGGATAACAAGTAGCTTTTGTGTAATTATAGTAATTATGACCAAGAATATATCTAAAACCTATACCTAAAACCTGTATATGACTGTCTCTTGTCACGTGGTTATCCCATCAAGTCGCGTGACAAGAGAACTCCAAGACGAGACCTGAATCGGGTTGATAAAGAGACAGAGTACGTCTCGAAAGCTCCCCAGCATAGCTGAACTTTCGTTGTGTTTTTAGGTATACATGTCTTGTAAAAAGAATATATCTCATATTCGTATACATGGCATATATCACCTTTTATACTTATGTGAGATATATATCAGATATATTGCATGATTATATATATACATATAATATATATATATAT